CTTACTTTTAGGCATAGGCATTTACTTTATGTAGGCATGTAAACTTACTGAAAGGAAGTAAAGACATATCAAATGCAATTAAAAATTGATGGGAATCTTCCCAATTCTCTAGATATGTAAGCACTAAAAATTGTGAAACATGCACAGTTTGTTCAAAGGCTACATCCAGATTTCCACATATGTAAAAAACAAAGAAATTAGTAAGTTCAAATAGTATGTGTAAAATTTGCGTATACAAATCTTTCTGCTAAGTTTTTTAATGCTTCGGAAAAAGTTCAGAAAAAAGTCACTTCAAATATTTTAAGATTGATTATTAAGAAAAAGAAACTTAAGCATGGAATCCAGAAACATCTAAATACTGGTAATTTGATTATTAGATTTATTAGTATTTTCGAATTGATTGAATCACCAAAAGTATTTTATTACTCAGGTGGGTTGCCATTACCTATAACTATTGGTGTTCCTCAATTAGTTAATCGGAAAACCAAGTTTGAAGAAACTGAAACTATGATTATTCAACTTGGACTTCAAAATCCTTTTGAGTCATTGAATGTATTTGAAGAGGATACCGTGTGGGAACATTTGAACGCAATAAATGTTGGCTTATTCTTAAAAACTGTGACCAGCTTTCACTAAGGCTACCAACTGAGCTCTTACCACTTCTATGTCTAATGAAAAAATTTGAAAAAAAAGTTCAAGGAATCTTTGGAAGTTATCTTATCTTTGATTATCTTTAACTAATAGCTGACTTCGGTTGTTCCTACACAGCCACACAGGTACAGTTAATTATAATGAACTTGCTATAAAATGACTTTGTATTATTATATTATTTTTATTATCTATCTTATAGAATATTTTATTAGTTTCTAGGAAAGAAACTTACCTTGACCTGGAAAATACATATAATCTCAGCTCACTTGCAACAGTAAATTGAACATACTGGTCATTCTCTTAGACGATACAATGAACAGGCATCTGACTCGGCTTATTCAAAAATGAAGCCAATAATCGAACAAATTAATGTTTCACAAACAAGTTCAAAGCACTCTCTTAGAAGCAGAAGAATCGCTGAATTGTTCAGCAGTACTAATTTATAAATTAGAAAATTGAAATATTTTGATTTATGTTTATAAATTTAAAACATTGGATACAAATATTTTTTTAAATTGTAGCTAACTGTATAAAAAAATCTTAGTTTTTTTTTAATATTTGCATTTTGTAACATAAACATTTAATAAAGTATATGAGTTAAGATATAAAGTATTAAAACGTCTTTTAAAAGAATTTGGTATTTTTTCTTCCCTTAAAAAAAAAATTCCACTCCATTTCAAAGCCGAGCACAATTTTTTTTAGTGTTTGAGATAACACCTTCCAGACATGGTGAAAAAAACTCCACTAAAAAAAAAAACTGACACAAAACTCCAAAACTGACACAAAACTCCAAACATTGATATGTTCATGTTTATGTCAAATACATTGCAAAATTTGTGATGATTGGAGCAAAAATGTTTTTAATGTTTTGCATACTTTGCAAAGTTTGTGATGATGTGAATATAAAAACCACTAAACGTTAGCCCCTTGCCCATAATGCATAAGGCTAACATTTCATGGAATAATCTCTTAGTGTTCCGTTATTATGACTAACCATTTTATTACCCTCCTCAAATTAAAGGGGATTCAAACTTTAAATGGTCATAATTTTTTAGCACTTAGAAACTATTTCATGCATCAATTTGTTGATGAATTAAAACTGAGTTAATAATAGTGAAAACTAAAAAAAAGGAACTTGTTGTGTTTGTGTTATTAGCAGGGGACTAATGTTTAGAGTTTTTTTTGTTCCCAAGCTCCAATTATCACATATTTTGACAAAGTATCCTTATTTGACATAAACATAAACTAAATGTTTAGAGTATCTCAAATACTTAAAAAGTTTGTCTACAAATGGCTATACATTTAGAAATTTTGTTGAATTTTTTTTTTCAAATCACTTTTTTTAAAAACGGCTACCTTTTGATTTTTGAGTTTCAAGATACAGTATCCTGAAGAGTCACTGATAAAAGTTTCATAAAAATATTTGGGGAACTCTGACCTAAAACATAAAACCTATTTTTTTGATGTGTAAAATGAAAGTATATTCATGTAAAATAGTTTCACAATGAGTTAAGTTTCTCAATTACTTAAACAATAATTACAGGAATTAAAATTCATGTAAAATAAATTCGCAATATTTTTACTTCAAGTACGCAACTTTACTAATTAAGTAAATCGTTAATAACGTCTCTCCATCATAAATGAGAAAACGAGTTCAGGAATCCAAACTAAGCACTGGTAAATCGCCGAATAGTACTACTCATTAAACGAATACTTGCTTGAGCACTATTGTTAGCGATTCTTGTGGGAGCGTTATTGTTAGTGAAATTATTTGTTAGCAATTTTGAGAGGACTTGTTACAGGGGATAGAGGTAGGGGTATTCAATTTAATGACACAACATTATTTTTTCCGAGTCTTAAATAGTAGAAAATCTTTTCTAATAATTAAAAGAGTACTTAGCTTAAAACATTCGACTGTGGCTGTTCCAATTTAATTTAAACTTAAATTGACTAATTTAATTGACTTAACTTTAATTGGAATTGACTTTTTATAAATTGATTTGAATTTTAGTCAATTAGCGTATACGTCAACGGTTTTATGAGTCAATGATATAGCCAATATATCATTGACAAAAAAATAATACTAATCGTTAAGCAAATAGTACTATTCATTAAGTGTATTTGCTTTTTGAGCTCAGTAATTAAGTTTAGCAAGTATCATGTTTTGATACTTGCTAAACTTAATTACTGAGCTCAAAATTCACAGTAGAGAAAAAATTAGATCAGCTTTAGAGAGCTTGAGGTCTCATCATTTACAAAAAGAAATTATTAAGTTCGTTTTAAAGAGGTTTGCTCACCTCTGGCCCTCTGTGCTCTGTATCGGCCAGATACCAAAGCAATACATTTGACCGAATCTTCAGCGCTTATGCCTAATATTATCTTAAACTACTAAAATAACAATTAGTTAAATCTTTATTATCTAAAGAATCTGAACAAACTTTAAATTGATAATCAGGTTTAAGTGTTTGAAAATAAACCTCAAGTTCATCGGATTTTGCGGAAACAATTTTTATTCTCCTATTAGCTCTATCCTCTTCATTGTCTGCCTCTTCCCCATTTATCCTTGTTCTCCATTAACATCTGGAATGCTTAGTCTAGCACTTCTGTAATATACATGTCTCCCACCCCTTCAACTCAAAAAAACCTAATATTCTTTATTTTGAAATTCTCAAATTGAAAACAATTCTGAGTTTGTTTAAACTTAGCAACAGAAATATCAAAAAAAAAGTGTTTTTCTCTTCTTTTTTTTTTTGTTTCTGTATCTTAGAAAAGTTTCCAACACTAAAAAATTCGAGTTAAACGATTTTGAGACAATGCAGATTTGTGTACTTATAATGAAGCTTGAGTATCTTATCTCTGACACTAGAAACACTAATCATTAAGTTTTGAATTTCTTTCAAACATCAAGTATAGCATAAGCAATACATCTCTGTACAGGATTCTCACAGGAGCTATTTCTGCATATCAGATTCCTTTCTATGTTTCTGTGGGCAGGTTAAAACTTAGTAGATTTTAGTGATCAAAAAATAAAAATAAAAGTTATATAATATTATAGATATTAAAGATTCTTATATAATTTATTACTTTATCATCTCATTTTTTGATTCCTGGAAACGTGGTTGTATTAATTCTGCATTGTTTGTACAATGTTAAATTCAACTTAAAAAGCAATGTTGTGCTGTTGATGACATTGATTTTGTAATCCAATGACATAAAAACAACGTTAGCTACCGTTGTTGTGACAACAAAACTCGCAACATTGTTCTAACATTTAACCAACGTATATGTGCTAGCTGGGTGTTGACTTCAATAACAGACATCTGAAAGTTCACAAGTTCTTTGTTATGTTTATTATGTTATAAAAACAGATTTATGTCTTCCGCAGAATCTTTTCCAGTACCACATACTTAACTGAATGTTTTATTATTGAATGAGCCGAAACTTAACTGAATGTTTTATTATTGAGAATCTTAACTGAATGTTTTATTTATGAGCAGAAGAAATTAAATCCAGAATAGTTGAAAAAACATTCTAGCAAGGCTCATATGTCAAACATCCTACAAAGTTATTAACATTGCCAGAAAAACTCCCCAATATATCAATATATCTAAAAATTGATAGGAAATTTAAAAACAGACAGAAAAAGCATGGCTGCACCACTAAAATTAGGCCTATCACTACAATTCTTTAGATTTGGTTTCAATACCAAAAAATCCAAAATATGTGTGAGACTTTGGTATACTCCATTTCAAACTATGAGCAGAATGTCATAGCAGTACTGGGAGGACACATAAAATCTTAGAGAGTGGATTTTTATTTTAATAGAGTTAAAAAAACAAAATAATGATTACTCATGATTTTGATGCAATTAGTCTTCGCAATAGATTATCTAGTATCGGATTGACGACAAAAAAGTTTTTGTAACCTTCTGTGTATTTTTTGAAAGTTTAGGGTGTGAAATGCCAGATTAATTCATAAATGTAGATATTAAGATTATGGGCGGATCCATAACGGTAGGGGGACAATGGAGGAAATTGTCCCTCTCCTAAATTTGTTCAAAATAATTTATTTTTTTGTATTTCAAATACTTAACCTAGCATGTTTTTCGAAAAATATGGAATTAAATTAGTTGAAAAAATGATTTGAAATTTTAATAAAATTTTAAGATGCGAATCTTAAAGCGGACAAATGGAAAAGCAAAATATGACGTCATTTCAGTATAAATCTGATATTCAAAGAAAATGTCTATCTTGAAAATCTATTTTGAATGGAATCAATGTTCTATAAATATATCTTAAAGATATATTTAAGCATTATTGGGTAAATTTTAAAAAAGAAACTCGAAAAAATAAAAAAACAGAATCTAAATTTGTTATAGTTTAGTTTTAGGATATTACAAACATTCTTCTTTTATAATTATAGTTGACATGTTACAACTTTATCGGGTTGACATATATTGTAGCATATAGTTTTAACACAGACTTTTTTGCAAGTTGTTGTAGGCTTTAGTTTGCATAACGCCCTCATACCATTACGCTCTGTTGTCTCATAAAATCCTTTTTTGTTTATGGGAAAACTACGTCTTACTAAGCATCCAACCGTAGCTATCAAAAATACTAAAACAACCAATTTCCTCATATTCACTTGATTTGTTTTTATTCTAAAAGTAACCTTTTGAATTTAAAAAACAAATTTTAATAACACTGAATACATTTACAGTGCCGTGGCAACAGTAGGTCGGTGGCCCATCCCCCTCCCCCTAAAAAAAAACACATAACAAATCAACAACAACAAACAAACAACATTGTCATTAGGGCCTTGGGGCCCAAATGACAGGTTTTTAATTATAATAATTATATTAATTTTTTACTATATTACTTAAATAAACATAACCCCCCCCCCCCCGATTGTTAGTGGTGTTAGGTAGCTATAGCCACAGCTCATGTATATATATATATATATATATATATATATATATATATATATATATATATATATATATATATATATATATATATATATATATATGTATATATATATATATATATATATATATATATATTCATATAAATATAAATTTATATATAAATATATGTATATATATACATATATATATATACATATATATATATATATATATTCATATAAATATAAATTTATATATAAATATATGTATATATATACATATATATATATATATATATATATATATATATATATATATATATATATATATATATATATATATATATATATATATATATATATATATATTCATATAAATATAAATTTATATATAAATATATGTATATATATACATATATATATATATATATATATATATATATATATGCATATATATATATATATATATATATATATATATATATATATATACACATATATTTATATATTTATAACCGAGTATATAATCTATCTATCTATCTATATATATATATATATATACATATATATATATATATATATATATTTATATATATATATATATATATATATATATATATATATATATATATATATATATATATATATATATATATATATATATATATATATATATATATATATATATATATATATATATATATATATATATATATAGATAGATAGATAGATAGATTATATACTTGATTAGTTAAAACAAGTCTTTAATAGTTGTTTTATAACTAAATAATTAAATAGTTTTGTAGTATCAGTTTGTCATTTAATAATAAAACTTACATGATTTAATATAAATAACTTAATTTTGTGCAATATAATTTTGTACACTCTTACAATTATTTTTTAAATATTTGTATAATAAATATTTGCGAATATTTATGTAATATTGCGATAATACAACATTTTCAACAACTGTGAAATTATGTAATAGTTATTATCATTCTGTCAATTGCTTTTAACTACCACGCGTTATCATTTGATACTATCAAAGAAATATTGACAGTTTCTATAGTTACATTTTTCGGAACCGTGTACGTACTAATTATGTGTGACATAATTGTACGTACATAACTATATGTTATAGCGAAAATAAAATCCCCTCAACTCGACTAAATTATAAGTTATAATATAATTTCATTTCATATTCGCAGCTATTTACATTAACTAATTTAGCATTTTTAAAGACAACTAATTTAGCCTTTATAAAAAAAGTCTTTATGTATTACAGACTTTATAAATATTTAACTGAAAAAAATATTTTAATATTCCAGTAAGAAAAAAGATGTCGAAAAGACGTCTTTAAAGTCTTATTTACGATGTCTTTAAGATGTTTTTTTTTAATCGATTATGCAAATCTAAAAGACATCTTTTTTCAACATCGAAAATACGTCTTTTTTATGTTAGTCTTGTCATTTTAAGACATAAAAAATGCGTCTTTAAGACGCCTTTTTTTAGTCGAGTATGCAAATCTAAAAGACATCTTTTTTCGACATCGATAAGGCGTCTTTTTTGTCTTTATCTTGTCATTAAAAGATATAAAAAATGCGTCTTTAAGACGTCTTTGTTTATCAATTCTCGGAGTCGGAACGACTTTTTTGTCATACTTTTCAGTATACTATAGTATCCTATACACTATAGTATTCCTAGTTTTCATATATTAAAAGCTGTTTTTATCAAAAAGTTTCGATGCCAAGAAAAAAACCTCTTTTTGATATCAATATAAAAGAGGAAGCATTTTCTACATATTTTATATGCTTAAACATAGAAATATAATTTATAAATAAAACAACAGTATTGTTCAACAGAATATTTTTTCATCTTTCTCTTTCTTTTTTGTTTCTTGGCGTTGTTGAAAAAAATTAACTATTTCACGTCGAGAAATCCGTTCATACGAGCTGGTTACGACTTCTAAAAAACGAGTGAACATAAAATTAGTCTATTACTTAAAAGTAATAAAAAAAGCAAATGAAACTTGATTAGCTGAATGAAAAACATTAGACTTACCGACTATTAATTCAAAAAGGGCTAATTCTTTTAACCCTCTCATGTTTCCAGCGCGGTCCTTTCTTTTTGAACCCACTGGGTTATATTGGGGACAGGAGTCTCACGGTAAACAGTCTGTAAATATATAAAAATGAGTGTGCTAAAGAAATTTACGACCATCAAAATGACTGTACAACGAGGTATTTTATTATGTAGAACTTAAACCAAGCTAAATATTTGCACCTCCCAGATTTGCTATGAAAGTTAAATTATTGAAAAAAGATATTGGTATTTTTCTGTCTTCTATGACGTGACATTTTAATTGAATTTCGCTGAAATTAAGTGTTGTAGACTCATGACAATTTAAAAATCCGTTATTGACTAAAGACTATCAAAACAAAAAGATAATAAATAATTAAGAATTGTTATTCATTTAAACTGGATAAAAGTATTAATTAAAGCTCTATTTTAGCATGAAACATAATAATGCTTTACTTAACAACATAAAATCATAAAGTTGGCGATATCATTAGCAACGCAGATGAAATACACATAAACAAAAATGAACTAGAAAGCTGCAATGGTATTTAGATATAAGAAAGTGTTTACAGTATCATTTTCACTTGGTCTTTTGTATCCAAAGCAAAAGTTTTTCAAACAGTTCTAAAGATAAATCTGTTGTCGTTATGTGCATTTTTTTACTTGCTTTGTTAACGACAGACTACAGTTAATAAGGAAATAACAACTTAAACATAAAAGTTAAAAAGCCAATTTTTTGCATAAACAATTTCATCATTCAACTAAATAAAAAAAACAAAATTATTCAGATCATTTAAAAATATATTTAAAAAAATTTGCAAGCCTACTGAATGCTTCTTCTTTTCTATTGTTCGTTTCACTGGCACTTGAACAAGTAAACACAGACAGAAATTGTTTACAGGTTTTATTTTTTGTTTGAAAATAAATACTTTAATTTAATATGTAATAAACAACGTTCTTCAAGCACAACGCATTAAAAAATTAGTCCAAAATTAAACGGTAAAACTTTTTAAAACACTTACCTGCGATTAACTTAATTGAGACTAAAAATTAAATAAACATCCCCCCCCCCCAATTAGTGGTGTGGGGTAGCCATAGCCACAGCTATGCAGGTAATAATACTGGTAAGGTAATAATACTGTTTTATTTTACGTTTGAAAACAACAATGAATTGGGGCTTGGTGATAAGACAAGTCTGTCTTTTTCTTGCTCCGGCCAGGATTTTTTACTATTATAATCTATTTTTGTTACAAACGGCTAAATAAAAATTATAAAATTAAAAAAAAACGTAAAGACATTAGTCTTTAAATATAATATTCTATATTTTATAAATCTTTTCGATATGAAAAAATTTTTTAAAAAGTTTGCTTTTGTTACTTTTTTCCAAACTTATTGTTTAGATATTTTTTTTCAAAGGTTTTAGATTTTCTATTAACAGAACACTCACTTTTATAATAAATGAATATTATGCTTTGCGTTGAACAATTTTAAAGTCATACACTTTACATTATTTGTGCGTTTTGTCATTTGTCTTTTGTGATTTTGTCTTTTGTGCTTCCAGAAGTCTATACGGTCTTATCACAGAACATCGCGGAAGGGTATTTAACTAGGAAGTTCTCTCTTTCTTCTTTACCAATGTCACTTATTCGGCTAGGGTCGGCCTCAAATCTAGTTTGAACCTCTTGGTTATGAGCCGGATCTCTAGCAAATGCAACATGACTGCGCAATTTAACACATATTTGTCTGAATCGATATTTTTTTTATCTAGAATTAGTAATAACAACTCATTTCCTTCGAAAACAATGATGAGTTTTATCTAATAAATTATTCAAAAATAATTTTTAAGAGTTTTATTTAATAAAACAGTGATAAAGGAGTTTTATCAAATGAAACAGTGAAGGAGGTAGTGTTGTGAGAGTAAAATTTACCGGAAAATTTTGAAAATTTATCGCCTGGTAAATTTTGAAATTTTTTCCCACTTATTTTTATTTCTTTAAAATATAAAATTTATTGTTACCCTCACCGATTTAAAATTTACCGGTAAATTTACCTGTAAATTTTAATGGTAAATTTTGAATCAAATTTTACTGGAATATTTAGATCACTAGAAGGAGTTTTATTTAATTAAACTTTCGTGCATAGAAATAAATTAAACTAAAAACGGAGTATTGTATGCCATTCCACTTCTCAGCAAACATTGTTTTAGTGGATTTGCAATGAACCTATATGGACATTTTAAGGCAGTTCATTGGAGTTTTGTTCATCAATTATTAGAGGACCATTAGTGGCAGCCGCTATAAACGGCCAGTCAAAAACTTTCCGACATGTTAATAGCGGCTTGTATTAGCCAACTTTGGCGGCTGACACTTATGGACCACTAAGTAACCGATGAGCAAAACTACTGTAGGCCGCTCAAAACTTCAAAATAGGTCCACTGAAACTCCGCTATAGAATGTTTGCTAGGTTTTTATAAATTATTAAATTTTTTACTTCCCAGTAAGCACCGGACCTAAAAAAAACGTCTTTTGAACGTTCAAAAGAATCAAAAACGTTTAAAGACGTTTAAAAAGACGTCTTTTTTACGTTCCGTGCCCATTGGATTTGAAGTATATATTTTCATGAAAATGAATATTTTAAGACATTAAGGATGCAGTGTGATATTACTCTTAGAATAGAAATAAACGCTTGGCCATTTGAAAGATTGGAGAGTACATTGCAATACTAATATTGTGAGTATTCTTTAAAACCATGGTTTCACTCACAATATTAAAACAATTTACAAATTTATCATTGAATTAAATTTTAAATTTAACTTTTATTAATTTCAATTTTATAAAGAAATAAAAAATAATGACTATTATTATGACTAAATTTTCGTTTTATAATTAAAAAAAATGTTAAATAGTTAAAAGCCCGGAATGTTAAAAATAATGACAATAATCACGCGTAAAGATGCTTAAACAAACAAAATTTGCAACATATATATATAAAATAAAATAAAAATACCAGTTCATTAGAAAGAATTTTGTACAATAATCATCGTAATAATATTAAAAAGTATATGTTTAGTAGTTCAACAACTTTGACATCATGTTGATGTTAAACTAAAGCTTGCTCATGCTATTAAAGTTTACAAAAATATAAAAATTTAGAGGAAACTATATATGACGTTGTTTTTATAACAGGTTAACCACTTGTTGATATTTAGCTTTTTATCAAAGAAAAGTTTTTAATATAAATATTTAAAAGGTCTTTAAAAAATGTATAAAGTTTTAAAGAAAAATATCATCCTTAAGCATTATATTATAAAAAAGTTTTAAGGCGGTTTTAAGACGGTTGGGTGAAGAGAATTTATTTGGTAGTTGTCAAACTCAAAAAATAATAAAAAATAAATAAAAAAATAAAAAGTTTAGTTATATAAATGAACTAACATGTAAATAAAACAAGAAATGTAAATAAATGTCAAGACACTGACGAAGCTTTTAAAAGCTTTTTAAGTACATAGTTGGAACACTTCAATAAAACTTCCTCATTCTAGATATAAAAATGCAATTGATTAAGTTGCAGTTGAAATGCTCAAAAAAAAAAGCGAAATCTGTATGATAGGTTTCAAAAAAAACAACCTAGAAATAAACAAAATTACGGAAAATGTATATAGGGGAGAGTGACCTAAAACAGACCCCTGTACAAAAAAATGATAGAATCCCCAGCAGGCACAATGACGTTGAAATAACGTTGAAAAACGTCGTAAACCGACCAAATGCCACGTTGAAACAACGTTGAAATTTGGTTGAATTGGAAATAAAATCCGACGTTGAAAACTACGACGTTGAAACAACGTCGATGATTACGTCGTTTCAACGTTGATCTAACGTCTTATCGACTACATATCAACCATATTTCAACTTTGAATAGGTGATATATTCGATTGATACGTAGTTGAT